TCTCTCTCTCTCTCTCTCTCTCTCTCTCTCTCTCTCTCTCTCTCTCTCTCTCTCTGTGTGTGTGTGTTTGGTAATTGGGAAATAATATAATCTTGAAAGACTAAGGCTATTATATCTTGAACGGAGTTCATGAATCTTTCGGTTGAAGAAACTTTTGAATTATCGCCGTAGGAATTGTTCGCACCGAAAACTAGTGCCGACAGTGATTCGAAGGATTTAGGAACGATTGATAAAAGCAAGACAATGCACGTTCAGTTCTGTCGAGTCGCTCGTCCTCTGTGCCATTTTCCAAGCATGAATTATGCATTCTCTTTGAAGCATCGACGCCGCGCCGTTTGAATAGGGGGCGTTTGGTGCGTATCATTGCGATAAATCAGGGATTTATCGCTGGCGATCCTGGATGCATAATTTCATCGTATGCCATGAAAATTCTACAAAGGTTTGTTTCACCGATACTCTTCAACGAACGAAGGTAAACGAAGACAGGATCTTTCGATACGTTAATAGCGACTATAAAATTGTCGCTTATTCATCACCGATTACTATATCGTAGCGTGTGCTGTCGTGCATCTTTTGCGGGGACGATTCGTTGAGGATCGAGCGAAAGCAAGAGACCGAAGGAGGTAATCTTCTCCGTGGCCGTGGATAAAAGGAAGAAGTCGGTTACGGCAGCGTCTCCGCGGTTCCATCGAATTACTACGCGGCAACCAACTGTATTCCTGCGGTCCTCCGTATTTCTTTGCTCTCGTGTCCGCGAAAGTAGGAGCATTTGATCGAAAACCAATTTCTCTTACCGCGTCAGAGTTTTTCCCTCTTGGATTAATAGAAAAAGACCAACGACCGCGTATCGAGCACTCTCTCGGTGGTGGTCCCCAAATGTCGGAATTTCCTCATCGATCAAAATCATAGAGATTCCGACACGATTCTCCTTCTCCCCCTTCTCCTCCGCCGCCGAGTTCCCCCACTGTACACGCGCTTCGTTCGATATTACGTTGATCCGAATTCATTTGTCCTCCTCGGTACCACCCTCCCCGACGGATTAGACTCGTCGAGCGTGCGTTGCAACTCGATCAGCGAATCTCCGCATAGATCCACATTTGCATCGATTATAAAAGTTTCTATGAAGCAGAACGAATCATTTCTGAAACGACGCCCTAAAAACCTCCAAAATCGTGTACCTGCTTCTGTCGGACAAAGTTCACCCTGCGTCGTTTAAGGAACCCGCTATTTTATTCCTTACACGGATTAATCTGTATAACTTAACGGAACGACGAAAATCGTAAAAATTCGAATTTATGGGGATGTAAAATTTCATGCGGACAAAAACTTTCCGTGCAGACGACGCGTCGTTTGCATTCGCGCTTATGCAGCTCCATAAATCAACAATCACGAAAGGCTCGCGACGTCGTCGTCGCTGTCGCGACGTAATTATTTAAGCCCGCGATACAGAGCTGAAAGTTCAGCGAAATCTGGCCGAGAATCGTGCGTTTCAAGCAAAAACAAAAGCGAAATGGAAACAGTTTAGTCCGGCCATTATGCTTATTGGCACGACTACTCCAGAAAAATGTCTACGCGTTCATTAACACCGTCCCATTTTTCTAGAAAGCTACCAACCAACGAGCAAACGTAACGGGTAACGGATGAGAAAAAGTTTTGCCGGTATAACACGGTTGTTGGATTTTACGGTTTTAAAGAGCTCCCGGTCTAATCTGTAATATACGTATGTAGCAATAATTATGATAGTACAGCGAGCTTATTTTTTGTTATGAGCATGAAAATGGAAAATACCATTCGAACGTAGAAATAAACTGAAGTAGCTAGAGCTGTATCTTATGTCCTATACTCTATTGTATCGCTGGATGAGTCGAGAAATAGGATAGCGTGATAGCGTGAATAGGATGCTTGAACATGGTGAGAGAATAATTTAATTTGGGATTGGTAAAAGGATCGCGCGACGTATCGATGGTCTATCGATACTTTCTGCTTTGCAGTCACGTTCCGTCGTACAGAAACGCAAATCATGCGTGTTACCGACACAACTAACTGGACCGTGTATGGATTCGATGACGCGGAATTAGGTCGATCAGTGGAGCGATCCGATCGCGTTCAAAGGAAACATCCGAATCAGATTCTGTGACCAGACGGGTAAAACATAATTAATCATGTTGCGAGAACGATACTTTCTTCGATGATTATCTCACGTGCGAAATATCTAGAGAGCGAAGCTTAGAATTTCCACGTTCGAAAATACTTCCCTCCACACACACACACGCGCGCGCGCGCGCGCGCGTTGCGGGTCCGCTACAGAATTAATAATTTTCTAAAACGACAAATGCATGGATTTCTGCGGATTTTATGCAAAATGAAAATTGTTCAAGCCGATCGTAAGAGACGATAGTCGGATGAAAATGTCTTTTCGCTTTCTACTATTTTAACGAGCTTTAAATAATATAGAAATTATCGTGACTTAACAATTTTCTTTGCAATCATAATCATCATAAATCGATGACTTATTATCTTTTTTTTTATTGTAAAACACGGCAATACCATTTTTGAACATTAAACATTGAGCAGTGAGCATTGAACGTTGAAGGTTACACACGGAACTTTGAGCTTCGAGCTTCGAGCTTCGAGCTTGCGAGCTTTCGACACTAAAACTTGAGCTTTCCGAGCTTGCGAGCTTTCGACATCAAACTTTGAGCTTTCGAGCTTTGAGCATTAAAGTCAGCGAAGAATTTTGTCATCGATCGAAAATTCTTTCCGATATTACGTGATTACGTATAAGAAATGCAAGTTACAACGAATATTTATTTAGTTTAAGGGTCGTTTTTGTATCT